AAAAAAATGTTCTGACTTCAAACTAGAGGATATTCTTATTGTTACTTCCTGTGGCCAATTATTCAATAAAAGACACAAAGGACTTGCATTGGAATCCATTGATATGGCTTCATATTTTATTCATATTACATTTTTGTAAATTTGTTACTTATATTAAATGCTTCTTTGGAAATAAGAGTTATATTGAGTTCTAGACCTAATTGTTCTAATATACTAGATGATCATAATTAAAACAGCACTGTTCAATTCTATCTGGAAAGAGATTTAGCAGTTAAAATACAATGAAATCTGGTATTGCAACATTTCAGGACATTCAAAAGATGTTACTGTATAAATAAATTAGTACCAAGTTTTGGTACTAATTTCATCACTTTGTCCTCACTATGGCACTTTTTGGCATTGCAAGTAATAAACATTTTATTTGTACAAGACATTCATGTTATAGAAAGACAGCAGTGCAGACAATACTACTCAGTTTTATTCTCATTCTGAAAGTGTAAAACCTAAATGCAATGAACAGTGTGTTCAACATTTAACCATAATTGATCTTCCATGATGCTTCTCACATGCAGTGTGATACTATCTTTCAATGCTGCCAAATTTTTAACATGTCCTCAAGTGTTCCCACAATCAAAAATCACATGGTTTATGGAGAAAAAGATGTGGCCAGGTGGTAGAAAACATACAATTAAACATTCTTTCATCAATAAAATGTTGTCATAGAAATTTTTGTACACAGTGTCTTATATGGAAGTACTCCATCTTGAAAATGTTTTCCTCAAATATTGCTATTGTTGCAGTTTGGGTACAACACTATTGTTGAGCATCTCTTGGTATCTCTGGGAAGTTGTAGAGCACAGGCTTATTGGAACTAGCTTCTTCAAAGACTAGCCCAAGGCTAAATATAGCTGTGAATTTAGGCAAGTGAAGTAGATCTGCTAGAAAACATGAAGGGTTTCCATGGCCCAAATATGACAGTTATGCTGTTTCCTGTTCTAAGGTAAAAGTGTTTCTTATCGCTCTGCAGGATTTATGGCCATAACATATCTACTTCCATTCTGTTAAAGAAAGTCAATGCAAAGGCCAGTTGGGTTTCTGTGTCAGTGGCAGATAACTGCTGGTTGTGGCTGATCTTATATGAATAACAATGCATCAGCTTTCTTGGTATCCTCCAAGCTGTGTCATTGAATACACTCAGCTGCCATGACACTTCATGTGCATTACTGGAACCTAAAACATTATTTACTGACTGTTCAACAACAGCTTGTGGTAACATCTTCAATAACTTGTGAAGGTTTGGTTTGTACTCTTGAGTGGGTTAAACTCCAAGACAGTTTTCTTGAATTATTCTCCTTATAGTTTGTGGAGTCAATGGTCCTCAGCATAAATTCTTAAGATGTCAAATTGCTGAAGTGCAGTCACAGCATTGACATTGTTTTCATAAAACAACTGCACTAGAAATGCACATTTTGGCAAGGAGATGGTTATTGTAGCTGATAAGAATGACATTCAACAGTTGCAGCCACATTTATACTCAGAACTTAGCTGCAATACATGTACTTATATGAAAGAAATTGCTTGCAGTGCCAAACATGCCATAGTGGTTACTTTTCGTACCAATTTCTTTTTGGAAATATCTTCTTTGTGTCTTGAAATGTCATAATACTAGATTTTTTTGCATTTTCACTGTGAAATAGTTTTATAGATAGTATTGAATAAGAGCACTTTAATTATGATCACCCAATATTTTAACAATTTTTAAATCAATCAAATGTTGAGGTCAAAATAACTTCAAAAATGTTAATTGTTATTTTTCAAGCCATTCTTCTGCATTGATGTAAAGTAATAAAAGCAGCAAATAAGTACAGTAATACCTTGGTTTTCGTAGACTTTGGTTATTGTCGGTTTCAGTTTTTGTCAATTTTTTTCGCGGAAAATATGTCTCGGTTTTCATTGGTTGCCTTGGTTTTTGTTGACGTGCCCCGGATTTTGTTGGTATATATCCTGCTAATTTTGCGAAAACATAGGGCAACCCATGCGTTTTCCTGCTCAGTGTGGTGTTGTTGTTGTTGTTGTGTGAGCATTACCCAGCACATCTAGCAAAACAATTTCATTGCTTTCCTTTCCTTTTAGCTCCATCATGGAACCAAAGAAAGTTTCCAGAGCCAGCAGCCCTTCAAATGCCATGTTAAATGCTATGTTAACATTCATTTATTCTTTACATTACTCTTTTATATTAATTACTTATTGTTTTTAGTATTAAACAAAATATTTATGCTGTATAAAATACGTTTTTAGTATGTATTTCGGAGTGCCTAGAACAAATTAATTGGATTTACATTGATTCATATGGAAATAATTTCCTCAGTTTACGTCAGTTTTGGATTTCGTCGATTGTTTTTAGACAGATTATCGGCGAAAACTGAGGTATTACTAAAATCTTATTTAATACATAATCTGCATATAACTAGGGTTTCTCATTTCCCGGTCTTTTGCTTGACCCGGATTCCAGGAAATCTTGGGATATAATTAATTATTTTTAAAATATAAAAAATATTTTGAAATAAAACAATATAATTATTTTTCATTTTTTAAAGTAATTTAATACGTTCTGCAACCTCCAAAATCATAATATTAATAATGCTGTGTAAAATATATATTAAAATTACCTTTGAATTACATAGAAATTTTCATAAATAGAAAAAATTTATTAAAGTTTGTTGGAAACTGTTTACAATAAAAATGCCTTTGAGTTGAGTTGAAAATTTAAAGAAAAAATGAACATAGATCAAACTTCTAACTTAGAAGGTAATTTTCATTTTTTAAATAAAACATAATACAAAATATTATTGTAAATTTTTATACGATTTTGAAAACCAAAGATGGTCGCTACTCCGATCACTCAATCTGGTTATTGTTTTAATAATGAAAAGTCCTGCACCGAGAATGCACTTTTTTATTCAATTGNGAAAAAGTTTCGTATTTAATCACGACATACAACAGTTTGTTTTTGAGATGCTTTACAGTATTTCTTTTGCTGTCTAGTATTCTTGATTTGTCTACCTCAGCTGCTTTAATAGTGACATCAAGCTTATAGCCCAACAATTCGGCAGTTTGTTTGGCTTTAATGATCAGGTTTATGAAGAAAAACTTTATACTTGCAGACTTCTTATTTTTTTCTATCCCTTCCCAATTTGCACAACCTGACATAATGCAGTTATTGAAGCTACTGGGCATAGTTAAAATTAAGACAGCATTAGTGCAATTATTCAAGATATTACAGGTTCTGACAAGTAAAGAGTTTTCAGAGTCCTGCCACAAATACATATTGATTATTGACAATCTGTGAGATGTCATAACAAGCAAAAATTTAAAAAACTAATAAGCAGACTTAAAATTAATAAATACAAATGTGTTCTAACAGTTTATGAGTTAATTATACTTTCTATTTTCAAAATTTCCTCAATCTTAACCTGTGGTGATATTCGAAATATTTAACAAAGGGTTCGCTAACAGAAAATTTTTCCTTAACAATTTTTTTTTCGCTCAAATGGTGCATTAGCAACATTAGCGCAAAAACAGACCTTAAGATACCCATATACAGTAGAGCGTCGTTTATCCGAATCAATTGGGGACTCGGGTTGTTCGGATAACTTATTTTTCGGATAAACGATTGTGTACGAAAAAATACATTAACCTATCCCATCCTGAAATTTTTCTCCGTTGCGTGTCCCTTTGCGTTGAATTTTCATCAATGTTAAGCCTAATGTAAACTTTTTAAAATAATAATCGTGCCTATTGTATCGTTAAAAATTATTTATTTTGTACAAACAAAATAAATATATTGAAAAATATAAAAACAATAAAAAATTATACTTCAGAAGTTAATTTAGTATCAAAAACGTAAAATATTTG